TGTACAGAGGTCTAAAATATTGCCTATTATGGAAAAATATGAACTGGTCCAATTTTACTGAAAAAGACTACAGGTTGGTTTCGGTTGGGTTTTGGTTTTTTTTTTTTGTTTTTGGTAACTACTTTAAAATGTTGTCCTTTCAATTGGGTGGTAAATAGATGGGATATAAAAAGTTTGTCCTCCACATTCATCATTCATCATGTTACTGTTTATTCTTTTCTCCTTTTAAAATAGAAGCTGGTGTTTCCCTTTTCAAGCAATTTGCAGTTGTTGGTAGCATTGCTGATTGAAATAGAGCCTAACACTAAGTGTTCTTTGCAGAGTCTCTTAACGTTCTAACTATGGAATAACTTCTCCAGCAAGGGATATTGCCTCTTTTAGTGTAACAGATGAGCTCATTTGAATGTCAACGGTAATCAGAGAGTTGTTGCTAATTTTTTTGGATCTCTTCCATCCCTCCATCCTTCTCTTCAGAAACTGCTGTTAACTGGTCTTCCAGTTTTCCTTGTCAAGAGCTGTGCAGTAAAGAATTAAACGCACCAAAGATAAAGAGTTTTCTCTGGACATTCAAGCCCAATTCAGGATTAGAGAAGACAGCGTAATTTGAAAGGAGATTGGTCTGCATGTTCTTGGAAATGAACCTTTGATTGTACATGCAGGCGAGATTCAAAATAAACAAGCTTGCAGCATTTATCAGTGGGATGATCTTGAATCTCTAGCATGCGTGGTGATGGGACAGCAAATTAAGTTTTTGGTCAATGCCATTTGTTTTGTTGCTTTTTGAGCTTTCTTTGTTTCTCATTCTAATGCCTTAAAAATCCCAGTATATTAGAATCGGGTAGACTGTGACTATGTCTATGTCTTTTGAATTGCTGAACTGCTGAGTTTAGTAATTCTATGAAACTAAATGCTATGAATCTGTCCTCCAAGAAAGGCATTTGCTTCCTTCATTGCCTCCTTCAGATTCACTACTTACTAACTGGGAATGTTGAAAATTTGAAAAGTTGTGAACTTTCCTTGCCATGTCTTAGAGGTTGTATTTGGTTGAAGCTTCAGAGTTATCAGAGCTAGCTTTGCCTGCTAGTGAGTCATCACATTCTGACCTCTTGTGATAAATGCAGGGCCATGGAAACAGAGCATTTAATCACTTTTCTGACTTTTGCATTATTTTTAAAGTTGGGAGAGTATGTGTTTCTTCAGCAGTATTCCAGACAAGAATCAGTGTTGAGAACCAGTTACTTGTTTTGATCACTGGTTTTTGTTGGTGGTTTGTGTTTTGTTTTTTTTTTTTTTTTTTCATACCAATAATGCTCTAAAAGGGCTCTGCAACATTTTTTATAAAATCTGAACTGAATAAAATAGGCTGGTGGGGAGGAGCAGAGAAGTGAATATGGTTTTCAAAAATCAGGTTTTCTCCCTTATCTTTTATTTTTTCCAAAGGAAATTGAATACTCATTTTTTTGGTGGTTTTTTTTTTTTTTTTTTTTTTTTTTTTTTCATACCAATAATGCTCTAAAAGGGCTCTGCAACATTTTTTATAAAATCTGAACTGAATAAAATAGGCTGGTGGGGAGGAGCAGAGAAGTGAATATGGTTTTCAAAAATCAGGTTTTCTCCCTTATCTTTTATTTTTTCCAAAGGAAATTGAATACTCATTTGTTCTTAAAAGGGATAAACCCTGGCCATTTTCATTAATCAATCAGTTTACATCAGTGTATAAATGCAGTGAAATTTTAACACAGTTGCAAGCAGGGGAGTGTGATTTCCCTGCTGGGTGTTTATAGCCAACACAATCCGGCTGCACTTCAATCAGGACGATTCCGAAGCACAGAAGTGACAGAGAACACAGTGGTTAATGTGTTATCTGTACGCTGTTGCCCTACTGGGTGCATCAGTGGGGAAGAAATCTCTTGAAAGGGATGGGGAACTGGGATAATATTGATACTGATTGGATTAGACATTGTTCCTGTCTGATCTTTAGTTAAGAAGCTGTTGAGTTCCTCTGCTATTGATTGGACTTGATATTTCGGGTTTCTTTTTCCTTTGTACTAGCATTAATAATGGCTTCAGCATGGAAATGTCTAGATTAAAATCCATCTATTCATATTCCTCAAAACACATTTTTGGGACAAAAATTTTTTTTTAAATTTGTACCTAGACTTTTTATGGCTTTGATCTTTGGCTGGATTTGGGGCTGGTTTTGTGAGGCAACGTGCATACCTTGAGAAGTTCTCTGCCCCAGAAAACTTGTGACTTAAACAGAGCCTGCTAACATCAAACTTTCCAAGTGTTCAAATGGTTTGGTACAGTGCCACTTAAAATAGATATGGTTATGGGGAACCAATGAGTTGCAGAGAAGAAAACAAGCACTTTGCATTCTAGACATTTTTTCTTCTGTTTTCAATAACTAACCTGTCGGGCTTTCATGATACGATACTATTCCTAGTGTTTTTAAAGGTGACAGAGAGGAGTTGGCAAGTTAAGAAATTAGACAGGAATGATACTGAGACTTCATTTCTTAACAAATAATTCTCCTCAAGCTGTATAAACTTTCTTGAGTTAAATATTGTAGAAAACAAAGATATTACATTTTCAGTGAAACATTCATGATAACAATTGTCTGTCCAAGATCCTCGCTAAAACCACCAGCTGATTTAAATTTTCCTTATTACTTTCATCAGCATAGACTTCCTCCAAAAAGAAAAATAAAGTCATCCTTTTCCTGAGTTGGGGGAAAAAAGGCCATGCAGAATAATAATAAAAAGGCTGATTTTTTTTTATGCATGTTTTCAAGCTCATATGAAGCTGAGTTGTAGATTCTAACTGAGGTCCTTGGCCTGCATGTAAATACATAAGCTGTTGTCAGAGATGTACTTCACTTTGGCACACACTCTCCAGTGAGCATGTAGCTGGAGCCAGAGTTCATGAAAAAGGCAATAGCATGCGGCAGGGCTGCCAGCATAGCAGACCTGCAACTGAGACCTCATATAAGCTGTCTTCTTTTAAAACTGCTGGAGAAACTGCATCTGAAAGACAGTATCAAGTGTTAACTCACGTATATTATATACAGTAACATGAATTTGAAACTAAAGGTATTTATATCACAGTCTTGAAGCCATAGAAGATTAAATAACGTATCTGTTGTTACTGTTTTGTTCTGTCTGTTGTTCCTTGAGTTGAGTGACAGGTGTTTGGACCTCTGCTGTGTGCAAACTGGAAGCAGCAGCATCAAGTTAAATGATTGTATGTGAAGCCGGGAGTCAGCAGTTGGCTGGTATAGAAACTGCCCCTTGAGTTAGAAAAATTGGGGGAAGAGGTGGGAAGGGTCGTGGGGTTCGAGGTGACAAACAATATAGGCAGCTGAAAATAGCTCTTCTTTTGGTGACATAAGACCACTACCAGACTTTGGCAATCAGAAGAGAAGTTGAGGGAGCTCCATTACTTCTAGCATCTAGTGGCTTTTTCTGAAATATTGACATTCTCCTTAGCTGCCCTTGGTGTTCACAGCTGTGGCCAGTATGGTGACATCATTGTACTTGGCTGCTGCCTTCCCAGCCATATCTGCAGATAACTATTTCTCTTGTTTACTGGATAAAGAAACAAGCCTGCACTCTTAGGAGGGAAATGAAGTGGTTAACTTGGCCATCAGTCTGGCTAGTGTGATTGGGAAGGAATGTTCTGCAGTTTGTCTACTTAAAGTCCTCTTCTGGAAGAAGCAGTTGGGCCGAATCATGCCTTTGTCTCTGAATCATGCCTGCTCGCCCTGTAGTGGGTCCTTCAGAGGATCTTTACAATCTGTCTCTGCTAGGGTTTTGTAATATTCTGTGTGGGGAGTGAAGGGAGGAATTATAGGACTTGGACATTCACAACTTTGTCTCCTCAGTGTGGAGGCACAGCCTCAATTGGAAGCACAGATTTATTTCTCTTTGAGTATAATGGCAGATGAGATCTGGTATGACAGAAAAGTCATCTTGTCTATGCTAAAATCTCTGCCACTGTTACTGCTGCTTCTGTATGTCTTACTGTCAGATCCAACTCAATGAAGTTAATTTCCTTGTCTCTCATGAGTCTCTCTCCCACCTCCTTCCATTCTGTCTGTGAATGCCATCTATTATTTGCTAAGGTCATGTCATTGTCCAGCTGAACCTCACACACAAGAGATCTAGAACTTGTGCAGGTACTGCTGGAACATGTCTTTTGGCATCTTGACATGTCTTTAAACTTCCCATCCCTCTAACATCAATCATAAGTTAGCTCCCCTTTGAAAGCCCGTTCCCTGTCATTTGTTACAAGGACTTCAGCTTCCACCACCCACTTAGAGCTTCAAACAGAAAGAACCTTTGTCCTTTTGCTCTGGCTGCCTCTTCCAGCTAACAGCAGCCCCCAGAAACTTGCACAACCCACATCAGCATCTTCCTTCAAACTCTTCCTTGAATTTTTCTCTTGTTGTGGTGCAGAGGAGAAGACAGTAGTTCTGAATCTCTGTCACAGTCTTTTCTATCTAGGAGGGTATTTGGTAGGAGAATTTCAGGGTGTTGTGTCTGGTACTGTTAGCTTCCAGTCTGCTACTAAAGGGTTTCAGAGCTTGCCTTCTCTATGTTGTTGCTACTTCAACTTGGTGAACCAAGATTTTAAACAGTGAAGACTTAATTTGTTCCAAACCTGGGTCTACGGATTGACAGAGGTATTCTTGAAAGTATTGTTGAAGGGCCTTAGTTTGAACTCTGAACTGTGTTGAAGATGCTGTCCATATCCTGTAGATACATAATTGGGCCTGCTCTTCCCTCTGTCTTTTACTCCTTTGTCTGACATGTGGAAGGAACAGATTTCTGGGTAGTGTGTATTTTTCTCTCATGTGAAACTTCCATGTTCCTTCTGCTGTACTGCCTGCCCCACTGATCTGGGAAAAGAAATCCTCCTATGCCTTATTCATACTCTGTGCTTTAACATCCCTAGATGCCAGTAACACTGATGTGTTTTTGTTTTTTTTCCTTCTGTAGCATCTCCCTTTCTGCTGTTTGCCAACCGGCGGGATGTTCGACTTGTGGATGCTGGAGGCACGAAGCTGGAGTCCACTGTGGTGGTCAGTGGTTTAGAGGATGCTGCTGCGGTTGACTTCCAGTATTCACAAGGCATCGTTTTCTGGACAGATGTGAGTGAAGAAGCCATCAAGCAAACCTACATTAACCAAACTGGGAGTGTGGTGCAGAATGTCATCATTTCTGGTCTGGTTTCCCCGGATGGCCTGGCATGTGATTGGATTGGGAAAAAACTTTACTGGACGGATTCAGAAACCAATAGGATAGAAGTAGCTAATCTCAATGGAACATCTAGAAAAGTCCTCTTCTGGCAAGACCTTGATCAGCCCCGGGCAATAGCTTTGGATCCTGCTCATGGGTAAATATTAATTTGACTTCAGTACTTAAATGATGTATACAGTGGTGTTTTATGCTGAGTTTTTTGTTCTGGAAAAGAAACGTAGCCTTTTGTTTCAGTTTACATTTTCCCAAGGTATTTTTCTCAAGATCTGTAGCTGAGCATATGTTTGAGCTTAAATATTTTGTGGCAAGAAATGACAGCCCAGACATAGAGCCAAAAAGAAAAATACAGCTGATCTTAGATGCCAAGCCAAATATTCCACCAGGATGATTGCCTAACTTATTCCATTGCACTTCTGAAAAGTAATTAATTTTCCAAGCCTTTTTTATTGTTATTTTCTCAGTTATCTTGTCTGGCAAGTTAACTTTCATTTGAAATGTGCTGTCTATTTAATGTATCTAGTCAGCAAGGTGCGTAGATCTTGCATGAGTTGAAACAGGAATTCTCGCTTGCTCTGCTCTGGTAAACAAAATTAGGGTATTCTTGAGTGGTGATGTTGGATAATCATGTTTGTGCTGGCAAGGAAAAGAATCCAAGTGAAACCAGGGACTCTCAATGCTTTAAGGTAACCAGGTTAGGAAGTAATAAGGGAGCAGGCAGGATTTGTCACTTCGAGTGTTCTTGAAAATACCTATGTCTCTGTATGGTTCCTCCCTCTCTCTTCAATACTCCTCACCATTTCACATGTGCTATTTGCTATCCCTGTGCACAAATAGTATTGGTATTGTGCAGTTTGGGCCCTGTATTCATTACAGTGATGACTGCAAATCTGCTGCACTAGATGGACGCCCAGGATAATGGGAAAAGAGAAGTGAGGTGTAGTTCTCTTGTGTGTGCAGATCCACGCAAGGGAGGTGGTTTGCTGATGATGTGCTGCAGTTCTTGTAACTCTTTCTCAGAGATCACTTTATCTTCCTCTTTTCTACAGTATGTACTAGTTTTCTCATCTGTTAAGAAAATCTGGCATCAAATGACATTTTCACTGAGTCTGGCCTCTTTGCAAAAGGATGCTGCATTAATACAAGGGCTTAGAAAAAAACAAAAATATAAAGTAGTTTGTGGTTTATCCTGCACTGGGAGATTGACAGTCTCTTGAGAAACTGCCTTCTTCAGGTATGTGAAAAGTGAGAATTGAAAGTAATCAACAGAAGACAATTTAAGATTGCCATGTCAGCAACTGCTACACCACAGACTTGAACTGTGTCAGGTAGTTTTTGCAGTGGTTCCCACATAAGACTTCCCAGATGACTGTGAGGACTTATCAGTACATTTATGATTAATATGTAAAGGACATACAAGTACTATATGAAACTGTGTTTGCCCAAAGAAACAAAATCGTTAGTTTTGTTGACATGTCAAATGCTGGCCCTACCTTTGTCCTTCAGATAACTGGTGGAAAGGTACAGCCATAATCAGTAAAAAGGAAAGCGGAGTGACTTTGTTGGACCAAAGGTCTTTTCCTGTGGAGACCTTGTCCTCTTAATCCTGACTTGAATACGCATGCCTTTAGGTGAAAGGAATTCTTCCCATAGAAAATTGTTGAATCCAAGTTTTTAAAATAAATTGACAGAAATCCTGTGTGTATCCTCATGGCAAGTAATCTATGCAGAATTAATTAATGCTGAAGAGTAACTTTAGATTAAGAGGTCAGTAAAATTTAAAGAGGGAATGTGATATTACATTGAGCATTTTATAATGAGGTAGATCAGAGAGAGTGGAATGGCACCTGTCCGCCAATGCCAGGTTGACATCTTGTAAAGTGGATGCAGTTCCTTGCCTTGTGACTATTTTCTTTAAGGTAGCTTACATATTGGTCATGGCAATACATTTCATAACATATTATGTGCTTTTTGACTCTGCTGATTTAAAAAACTGAAGGAGTTAACTGGGGATTTCTGGTAGTACATTAGTCCTATACTACAGGAAGTGTGAAATTATTATTTTTCATGAAAACTGGATTAGAACAACTGGGAGAGAAAGTATTGTTGGTACAGGTCAAAAGGAAAGATTTTTTAAAATCATCAGTGGTGGTGGTGAAGTTGCAGTACTTCTGAAAATCTAATCCTTATTTGTGTTTGGGAGAAGAAGGGGTGCAGGCATGGTTTATTTTGCATGACTTAGGCAGCTCTTTGCAGTACTCTGTGCAGAACAGATGTGTAGCATTTCTTAAACATGCACAAAATCCAGTAAGTGTAACAACAGAAGACACCATTTTGGTGTTAGGTATTTTACCTTGATTTTGTGTTTCCATAAGTCTGCAGTAGCCTATTCTTTCCTTCATGGAGGACTTGTCTATTTCTAACTATCTTGCATTTAATCCTCCATGGAAGATTTGCAAGTATGAACAGTTACTGTGGAACGGGCTAATATAGGGAACAAGATTCATTCGCAAAAAATGTAGATGCCTGCATGTGAGCTGGTCACCCTGAAACTTTCTGGTATTGGTCAACGAGATTGCTTGAGATGAGGAGAGAATGACAGTTCTTCTGACTTTTGCTCAGATAAATTCTTTAGGTTGCCAGTACTGCTGTCCTAAACATTAGATCAGTCTACAGGTTGGGTTTTTTTCCATTGGGAGCAGCAACTTTATATTAAACACCTCTATCAATTTTAGCTTGTGGCAGACATTTCTGATTGTTTGCCTGTTTGATTTGTGTATTAATGCAATGCAGCAAAGCAACATAAATAAATGATCTGTGAAAATGCACTATGATGATACATGTATCTTTTATAATCAACCATTTCATCCCCATTATGGTCCACTAAAATCAGCGTCCACTGGGTAAAAGTGACAAAATCCAGTATTGCACAAAGATCCTATTGAATTAAATGCAGGTTTGCCCAAATAACTATCTAATATAGTAAACTTCATAAACAAAAAATCCATACATTGTGTACATTTGTAGAACAAAGCATTCGAATTTAATTTGCTTTTATGACCAACTTCATTTCACATGGTATTTCTGAAATATTTTATAGGTGCATCTGTGAAGTAGCGATCATTACATTTGATTTAGGCACAGCAGGCTCTGGGTTTGAGCTTGCCTAGAACCAGTTGTTCCTTGTTTACTGGTATTTTCTGGGGAAGGAAAGGGGAAGACAAAAGGAAAAAAGAACCATTTAGTACCTTTTCATCTGTCTTTGTTAAGAAGGTTTTTTGATCAGGTGTTAATGCAGTTATTACAGCACTTAAGTTTGTGGGTTTTCTTCTGGATCATGAAATCTGATGAAATTTAGACTAGGATTCTTAAAGCTGGTTGATGCAATCTTAAAGTTGCTAGAGATTGGCTTTCAGTCTGGAAGAATTTTCATAGATGTGATTTTGGCCTTTAAGCAGTTTCTTCTCGAGAAGTGGGAGAAAGCTTAGAAAATGAGGTAGAAAACTTCGTTAGGTATATACCAATCAACTTCAGTTTCCAGAAGAAAAATGAGACAAGTAAGCAGTTTGTAAATGCTTAGCCAATTGTAGTAGTAACCAAACACGGGCTTGTCAAGAGTGCTCAGTGCCAAACAAAACTGATTTATTTTGTCTACTGACAAAATAATATGTGCTTTTGCAGATTGGTGACACCTCGTCTCTTATAGGCCGTTCTGCAGACGTGGATGGAGGACTCCATTTCACGTTGTGGTATTCACAGTGGGATAGTATGCCCAGGGTGATGCTTACCTAGTAAATAGGTCTTATTCCACTTTGAGTGCAATTCTTCAAATACATGGAGGAGAACATATTGAATATACAGTGATCATCTCTCAGGAATGTTATAGGTGTAATGACCAAGCCTGAGGTCACAGGAGATGGACTAGCTGACTTCTAGAGATTCCTTTTGAAGCCTATTTTTCTGTAATTTCTGGCTGACATTCAAAACTATGATTTTTTGGATGTTTTGGCAGGCTTGCTTAATAGTTAGGTGGGTGTATTTGGCATAATGACATTTTTATAGAGAGATTCATCGTTTCCACATTCAACCTACTTTCCTTCTTTAAAGGCAATGCTTTTCTGAAGGTTATAACACGAAAGAGAGATGCCCTTGTTGTCTCCCCCAACAATCATTCAGAGCATTTCTAAAATTTCTTTCATTTAAAGTAAGCCGTGAGACTATTGCAGATCATCTGTGGGTTTCTACTCTTCCCAGATCTAGTGAAAATCATTAATTCTTCTGGATTTTTGTTGCTCTAAGACAGTATCATAATTAACAAGCACTGCTTAATATGTAGTATGACGTTCTTTCCCGTGCACCTTAAAGCTTTCTTGCTGAATCCACTATATATTCTAGGAATCAAAGGAGGCAGAATATGTGATAAATCAATTATTCTGCTTCCATGATATTAAGGATAAACTAAGCAGACAGAGGAGAGTACAAAACATTTTTCTGCAAATTCACTGATATTTTGTTCTGAACATTCAGATCCCAGACTGGTGTAGGTTATGTGAAGCTGAGTTTATTTAATGGAAGATATTAGGCTAAAATTATTGGCACTATTTTGGAGAACATTAGTATTTATATACATTCTGGCTAGGTGGACCGCTGATGGGGGATTCAGTAGTGTTGGTGTTTTGTTGAGTTCACAGCTTTTGCGTATTTCTGTGTTTTCGGGACAGCAGCTTCTAACAAAACTTAAGTTAGTGTATGTAAAGATTTTACTCAAGCTCGACTAAAGAGATAGCTCAAACTCTGGGCAACAGAGTGAAAAGAACCAAAATATCATGAATGTTGTGTGAAGAAGCAGGAATGCATTTCAGAAGCAAGTCCTTATCGCGTGTCACAAGCAAAGTTCAGTTTCCTGAAAAGAAATTTTCAAAAGAATGCACAAATGCAGAGCCAAAACAAATGAGTTAATTCTCAGTCCTGTAGGGGAGGTCTTAGATCTGAACAGCCTAGAATGTGTGTTGACAAGGGTCATTAAATCTGGGACCTCTAAATCTGAATCTCAAAGCTTGCTACTTTCAACCTGTAATACAGGGCTCTGATTGTGAGAAGCTATAGCATATCCTTAATTCGCATATCTGATTTTCACTG